AAGCAAGATGTAGAAGACTATCTTTGTGAACTTTCTTGTGTCGATTTATCTTGAGAACCCTTGAGACTTTGGTCCTGATACCCTGGGTGAATCATTCTCTTAAGGGTTTTGGTCGTGCCCATGAAGTCCCTCCTCCCCCCGCAAATCCTTACAACTTTTTACCAGGTACACTTCATCACATTCATGGATATATTTGTAGCAAAAGTAAATGTACATCTACAAATATTCTCTATCAAACTCATGTATCTCTATGGGCATATTCGCTTTCTCCCTTCTGGACCCGGTCAGCCTGCTTGTTTGTCAAAATATCTCCACCATTGTAATATTGCTATGTTAGCAATTGCCTCTCTTGCCTTTAAACTTTGCAAACTTTTCAGGGTCTTCCCCAACCTCCATTTTATGCCAAGCTCTCTCATTCTATGCACTCCCTAATACACTGCCTTTCCCTTCACGCAAGTAACACTTGGCTGTTCTCAAGCCCAAGAGTCTTCTCCCTCCCTTCTCTTCCCATCACAGAAAGTTTATTTTGAAAACCTTTTATCAGATTTGAATATTAGTAGTCTCATACAATATTTGTCCTTTTGTGATTGACTGATTTCACTCAGCATAATGTTCCCCAGGCTGACTCATGAGGTATTCTGCATATTCATCATGATTTTTAACATTTCATAGCATTTCCAATGAGTGTACATACCAAAGTATTTATCTATTCTTCCACTGCCTCCATCATTTTTTCATTGCAAATAGTTCTGAAATGAACATGGGTGTGCACATTTCTATTCGTGAGGTGGCTCTTGTTTATCCAGGATGTATACTAGGCAGAGGGAGTGATGGATCATACGGCATTTCTATTCTCTACTTTTTGAGGAAGCACCTTGTCAATATCCAGCTCGATTCTGCCATGTTATAGTCCCATTAATAGTGTATGAAGGTCCCCCTCCGTCATCTGTGCTCTTTTTTAACTTTGCTATCACACCTTGTAAATTATAGGGTTAGCAGAAAAGAGGAGGCTCTTGACAAATGAAGGGACACAGTGGCTGCGACAATGAGCTCAAAGATAAGAACAATTGAGGCACAGGACCAGGCAGTGTCCTCTTCTGTTGGACACAGGATCGCTGTGAGTCTGAACCAACTTGGTGGCCCCTCACAACAACTGCATTAACGTTCAGATAAGATGATACCTCATTGCTGCTTTGATGTGCATCTCTTGGTTGGCTAATGATTTCAAGCATTTTTTCCTATGTTTGCTGACTGGTAAAGTTCATGTCCTCTACCCATTAAAATTGGATTCGTTGCCTCTTTCTTATAAGGTGTTATTCTATAAATTTTAGATTAGTCCCTCGTCTACTATAGCATTAACAAAAATTTTCCTCAGGTTGTGAGCATTTTTTTCCTTTTGATACATCTTTTGATGCATATGTGTCTAATTTTTAAAAGGTTCCAGTGAACTGGTCTGTCTTCTGTTGTCTGTATGTTTTTCATTATGGGTGATAATACAATTATATCATGTATTGAAGCCCCAAAGTTTGTCCCTGTTTTCCCATTCATGATCTTTAGGTTTTACATTTAGGGCTTTGATCCAGCCTGAGTTTCTGTTTGTTTGTTTGTTTTAATATGGTGTGAGATCTAGGTCCTATTTTGTTCTTTGGGAAATGGATGTTCAGTTTTCCTTGCACCATTTGTTAACAAGACTCTCTTGGCCATTCAATGTTTAGACTCTTTGTTAAAGATCAGCTGTTTGTAACTGGATGGGTTTGTATTTGCGTTCTCAATTCTGTTCCATTGCATCTAGCATTGTATCGATACCAAGCACTTTTGACTGCCATGGCTGTGAAGCAGCTTTGAGATCAGAAAGTAAGAGGCTTTCTACTTTGGTCTTTTGAATTAGTAGTGCTTTGTTTATCTCAGGTCTTTTTTCTCATGAAAGTTGGTGATTAGGTTTTTCTTTCTTTTTCTGTATTTTTTTATCTTTATAAATAGTGGTCAAAGCTGAATCAAGATTACAATATATCTGTGGATCACTTTGAACAATATTGACATTTTCACCATATTAATTTTCCTATCCATGAGTATGGTATATCTGTCTGTTTGTGTAGGTCTCTTTGGTTTCTTATAGCTGTGCTGTGTAATTTTCTTTGTATAGATCTTTTGTTTCTCTGGTTATAGTTATTCCTAAGTAGTTCATGTTTGGGGTTGCCATAGTTTTCCTGATTCCCTTTCAAAGTTCCTTGTTAAAGAATCTGACTGTTTTGTGCATGTTTCTCTTGAACTCTGCCATTTTGGTGAATCTTACAATTAGTTCCATCTATTTCCTTGATGAGTCTTTGAGTCCAATAGACATTTTTATGACATGAATTCCTCTGAGATGATAAGAATAATGATGGTCTCACAACAAAGGTTCACTTGGGTACAGTCATAAATTAAATTAGTCATGCAAGTTGGACAAATATGATTAAAGATACTATCAATGCAAACATTTGTACATTTGGGTTCAAATCTCTCACTTTCAGTAAGTATTTGGTGAGTTAAGAATTCAAAGAAGATAGTATCATCCCTTATATTAAGGAGCCTGTGACAATTACTAGCAAAATAATCTTTGTACAGTAGTGGGTCAGCACAAAGTGAGGGAAAACACGAGTAAGATGGACTGTAATACAACCACAACAATGGACTTAAACATACTGGTAAACATAGAGGCCACCTAAGACTGGGCATTAGATTCTGTTCTGTTCTTTGATACATGGCATTGCTCTTAGCTAGAGCTTCTGGTTCATGGAAGCTATGAACAACAAGTGCAATGGCAAAAAGAAGTGTGCTTAGTGACAAAGAAAACATTTATTAAACATGTAAATATAAAATACATGCCATGTCTCTTTTTAGGCATTTATGTAAATAAGCACCTTTAAGATTCCCAATAGTCCCCTTTTACAACATTCACCAATTCTGAGGCAAAGAATGCTGCATGGCTGAGGGTTGGGGAGAAGATGACTATAAAATGTGATTAAACATGTCAGGTTGATGCTGATAGAAAGGGCTGGATAATAATGGAGTGGAAGCCAAGAATGTGGGGGTTATTTTTGTTGAGAATTAAAAGAGATGAGCTGCTGATGAAGATACAGCCAGAGTGCTCACACTTCAGGGGACATGAAGTCATTCCTTTCTCCTCTCAATGGCTTATGACATGGTGCACAGTGATGCATATTGGGGTTAGGGTCATGAAATCCCTTTTATTTAGTGACAGACATTTTTTAATTCCTAAATGCTGTAACACTTCCAAAATATAATTCTTGAGCTAATGAGTAATCATCTATCTTTCTCACTTAGGACATTCAAAACTGAAGTTGAGAATAGGGCCACACTATTACAGTTCAGAGTGTGAATTAAATCTACATAAATTATGTAAAGTATCCAAATTCATTTGTTTTTCTTTTATTTTTGTAATTATAAGTTGTGAATTAATTTATTCTGCCAATAAATATTCTGTTCTGTCTTCAATAGCAGAATTGGATGGATGAGCATAAGAATTACACTGAATATGATATTGAAGTGGTGTCACATCTAAAGCCCATTTCCCCACTCTAAATTGAAAATGTAAAGGAGTATTACTCCCCTATCCTCTTTCTGCAGGCTCAATCACATGTGCCTTCTTTGTTGTATTGATAATATGAATTATCTACCCATACACATTCCAAGATTAAAGAATAATGGATAGGCCAATGAGTCAAGTCTAAATGTCATTTTGAAACTCAAAAGATCAATAATTTATAAAATTACACAGATCAATTTAGAATTTGTTGCTGAAAAGAGGTAGCTTGTTACTTTTTAAAATATTCATGGAGCCTTGTCTGTCGTTTTGTTCCTGCCTGGATGCCCATTGCACTCACACGGTACAAGCTACTCTATTTTCACTTTTTCTTAAATTTCTGTTTTATTATCGTCCATTCCCAATACCTCTAATTTCCCTCGCCATACCTTTCTTGAATTCATCCTGTTCATAAAAGCTAGTTCTCTCCTTTCTAACACTGAAGTTAACATGCCTAATCTCTCATTTCTTTACCCAGGGGCGACTGAAGAATAGGCATCATATCTCAGTGTTAATACATTCAATGCTGAATTCTTCATGATGTATTTTGAATTAATATGTATTTTTTAAATGAAGGGAGCTGTCCATTTACAATGTTAATAGCCTCCCCTTCCCCATGAGATAGGGTGTCAAAAGGAATCATACCAACACAAATTTGTCCGTGCACCTGCACATCTCTGTGGCTTTTTCTTTTTCCTTTCCAATCATTGTGAATTAGGTGAAGGTATGCAGAGCAGATCTGTTTTCCAGAACAATTCTCACAGTGTTTCCCCCTTTGCTACAGTGTCCACCACATATGCTGTTTGCTTCCCCGTCCTCCAATGTTTCCCATTCCATCCCTCCCTTTTCCATGGCTCGTCTGAGCCTTTCCCAGGATCAATGATGCCCTCTTAGTCTCACAGCACTAGAAAGTGTGTAAAACATTCAAAACTATAGAACAGGACTAGGCTAATTGATGAGACAGAGACCTGTAGCACCCCTGACACGCTGACCCTCAGTTACCTTGTGGCTCTGGAAATGCATTCGGCTCCATGACTCACATTTTAGCCCAACAATAAACAAATACGTGAGTATTCCCAACTTAAAATAATCAGCCCTTTGAGACAAATGTGGTTTTCATTAGTGTATCTATAGAAATAAAATGAAAATGCAAACAACTTCATTTGAGCTCATAGGTAGCACTCATAATTTGAAGACTCCCAATGAATGCAACCTGATGCAGATTATATACCTCAGGAGAACGTTCAAATTTGATTTCAGTAATATGGGTGAATTAGCCCAATTTCTGTTTCATGCTAATACACCTTCCAGAATATTTTAGTCAGCCTTGAACATGGACAATAGACACATATGCCATATTCTTTTTTGTTCTCATTATAACAAATATTGAAACAATGTTTCCCTGCCACTAACTTACCATCAGAAAGTGTAACCACTGTTATATCATCAGTAGAAACTCCTGGCCCATAGCGATTATAAGCTAGGAATCGAAGAGTGTATTCCGTGAATTTTTTCAGGCCTTCCAGTTTATAAGAAAGTCCATCAACCTCTATATTCTGGAGACATAAAAAGCCAAAACTGTTATTAAGAAGGCACATTAAGGCAGAAATGGCAATCATTCTGTGCAAGGAGCAGATTGAATATTAGACTCTTACAAAAGGACACCCTAGCGTTATAATGAATTGCTGTAAAACCGAACTTGTGATACACACTCCCTTCCAAAGCCCCAAGTCCTCCACAGACTCCTTGTTAAAATAGCACCATGCTATTTTTATAGTCATTAAACCCTGATTTGTTGAACACTACCCAATCTATGCAACAGTTTGGGTTATTCCGCTCACACAGACAGCCTGGCAGGTAAAGAACAGCCTGCATAGTCCACGGGAACAGGGAATCGCTTGTGGCGTCCAAATGGAACAATTCACCAAGAAATAATAGCTTTCTCCCTTCCCCTGCAGACATATATCCATGGCTCTCAAAACTGACAGATACTTACTTTGCCACAATTTTTATCTGCCCAAATGTGCGGAGGTAGGTCAGAACTGTTTTCACCACTTCAGAGCTACAGACAGTGAGGCAGTGGAGGAGAAGGTCATGGAGGAGATCCGAGTCAATTCATTCCAGAACACCCAGGACTTCGCTCGGCTCCAGGACCCCAAGCTCACCTCCATTTTGACTGATGGCATATATATTTTTTTAATTTATTTAAAGGGCTTGGTAAAAGGCATGCTTGAGGAATGAAAATGTCCAGGAAAGTGGATTGAACGGAAAGGTACTCTGGAGAGAGCAAGCCTATAGAGCAAGCCTATATAGAACAAGCCAATAGAGCAAATATATATATAATATATATATTCTGATTACAGAGGAGGAGCTCTTCGTGATGTTGATTTTGTGACCTAAGGTGGGATTTGAATTATGCCTAAGTAGAACTGCTGCCAAACACATTTTGACACACACACACACACACAAACTCAGACCATGCAGTGTACATGGAAGCATGCATCTCACAACATGCATGCCAATCTTCACAACAATAAAAATAACCGATGGGTCATGTCTCTGGCTTTCCAACTGAATTAGCGATCAGTGCTTTTATCTTTCTTCACATACAGTTGAGAGTCTGGAAGCAAGAGATCTCAACACTCATATACAAGCCACACAAAGGCGACCCCTGAGTTTCCCTGGCCTCACTAAAGACTTCTTTACTCTTACTTTGCATGAGACGCTAATGAACTACTTCCAGGTGAATGCATTCTCCACCCATGAGGGGAGAGGTGTCAGTAGAAGGAAGTTGGCCTTTTAGAGCAAAATGCTCGGAAATAACCCAAGACGTTGAATAATCTGTAGCCTGGGGGTAAGTCCTTGGATGGTGCAGTTAGCAAGCCAGTGGACCATAAGTTTGGAGGATCAATGCCACCCGGGCATGACTCAGAAGAAAGACCTGGTGCTAATTGGTGACTCAGAAGAAAGACCTGGTGCTAATTGATTCCACAGAGACCGCAGTCGTTGAAAATCCTAGGGAGCCCAGTTCTCCTCTGACACCCGAGGGTGTGGAGTGGATTACACCTCATTGCCTGGCAGGAAGAGGAACAAAATGGCATAGAATATGTCAGAATAAGAAAAGGGCTGAGGCCACTAAGTATGAGGGGGCGGACAGTCCGCTCGTGTTCAAAACCCCAAACTCCCTGCCATCGGGTGGATGCGGTGGACTCACAGCGAGCCTATGGCAGAGGGCAGAACTGCCTTTTTTAGGTCCTGGGGCTGGAACTGTTTACAGGAGAAGAAAGCCCCATCCATTAGGGTAGAGATGGAAAATCCCAATGCCTTCTGGTCCCAGGCCAGTTGATACAAATGTGGAGACTTTGTGCCAGGATTCTGCATTCTTAGCAGCACACATACTGGTCCTGCTTTATCTTGACTTCATCTCCTTCCCTGTTTGCCTCTCTTGACACTCTAATTCAATTAGACTACTTAGAGTTCCCAATAACAAGTGTTTTAAAACTAATCAGCTATCCAATTAACGTGCTGAACACTGGACCGAATCAAGGATTTACAGGTAGGTCTTTTGCTCTTTCTTAGCACTCGAATCAAACACTGCAGCCCGGTCTCTGGCTTACCTGTTCTTTTCCTGTGGATGCCTCAGTGCAGAACAACCTGTAACCTTGGACTGGACCGTTTGCATAGGCAGGGGGTTCCCAGGTGATAAGAACCGAGGTAGGTGAGGTAGATACAGCTTGCAGGTTTTCTACTGGCCCTGGTACTTGCACTGTAGTCAAGAGAAGTGGAATTGTGTAAGAAAGTTTCCTTTCTCAAAACAAAACAAAATGACAGTTTCTAATGTCCAGAGGAATTCTATGTACTGCATGTGCTATGTATTTTGTTTTTTAGAGAACCATATAGAATAAGAATAAAAAACACAATGAAATTTTAGTGTTTTTATTTCATTTTAAAATTCCAAAGAGAGCTTCTATTAATCTAATTACTCATCTCACTTTGCCGCTGAGGAAACTGGTCAAGGAATCACAATGACTAGATAATAGTGGAGAACGAATGGAATTCTTAATCTAAATTCTGAGTCTGGAACATTTCCCCCTACACAGCCTGCCTTTGCCTGTGCATTGTTAATAACTACAGAAAGAAATGAAGAGCTACAATTACAACACGTTTGCATTATGGTTCTATAATTCAAACAGACAGCACCCGGCTGAACAATTTACCACATTGTCTTTAGTTAAGTCAGCGCTTAAAAATCTTGCCCAATCCTGGGTTCTTTAAATGAAGTTCACAATTTCTTTTTCAATTTCACTTTCTAGTATCCCATTTCCTTTTCATAACCATTTCTTTACTAAATCAAGGATGAGCAGCTTGCTTGCTAATGGAATTTGCTAGCACAGGTCCACAAGTGCTTAACCAAAATCTTTGAATGTTTCTTAGCTCTGCTTAGCTTTGCTCGCTCTTGCAAGGACCTGGAGGCAAAGATACTCAGTAGCAATAAACATAGCCCCAAACCAATGTTTTAGAAGTCATCAGCTAACCAATCCAGTACTCAGATCTAACCTCGAATGGGATTCCTTTGAGAAAGGTCTGATTTCAGAGCTGCGGAGGATTGAAGTGGCCCTGGAAAACTTTATTATGTGAGAAAGAAAGGCTTTTCAGGGCCATTTCCTTCCTGCCCAGCATATGCCTGTGTATCCACATACAACACAGAGATGCATGCTGGTCAAGATGCCACAGAAATGCCTTCTTTTTCAGCCAATCTCTACAAGGTGCCAGCTAGACTTTTTTTCTACGAAGAAACCCTTGTTTCCACCTTAGGACCCTAGGAGACAGTCCTGAGAGTCTGGTCTTTAATTACACATTTAGCACGACAGTATAATACAATAGATGCTTCATTGCAAGGAAAAATGGCAAAAATAAATATATATTTATCAATATCGTTTAGTTGGAATATTATAGTACAATATTTTCAATAGTGTAAAGAAATGATTGGCTTGTTTCTCCAGTTACTGACTTTCACAAAGATAATACAAACATTTAATGAGAAAGCTTTTCAAATTTGGAATCAACATTTTTTTGAGAAAGGGAGATGGATGGATGGGATGTGCCAGCAGAGTTAGCTGCTAAAGATATACATGGAAAGTGAGATAGCCTAGATTCGGCCAGGTAAGAGTACAGATACATGCGGCTCTATGGTATGTAAAATATGAATGGACTGCAACCTTTCTTGGTCTCTGGTGGCTCAAATCTGAGTGCAGAGCATCCAGTTTAAAAATAACGCAATTCACAGGGCATCTGCTGTGAGATCGGACACCTTCATAGATGTTGGAAGAGCAAGAACCATGGTTTCCCAGCAGAGAACAGCTGAGGCGACGGGGAGATAAGTGGGTCTGGGGGGTGGGGGTCAGAGGTGGGGAAAGAGGCAGTTTGCGGGAAGGTTCTGCTCATCTCTACTGCTAGCATACAATGGAGAACAGAAATTGAGTCGACTCAGATATCTGAGCATGCCAAAGAGAAGAAAATTAACCTGCACCTCACTTGACCCATGAATTCATATTCGCTGGAAACTTTGCAAAGAAAGTAGGGGTCTAAGGAGTGCCATATTGCTCTCAGAATTTCCTGGAGCCTCAAGGATGACAGGAATAAAACATATACATGATTCATGCTCCCCAAAGAAGCTACTTAAGAATTAAGAAGAACCAGGGGAGCGGGTCATCTGGTGAAGCAGTGGACCTCCATGAAGGGAGGTTGCTACCTGCCCATCTAGAGAGAAGGCGATTGGACTGCTTTTGACTCTTTGAAGACCAGTCTTGGAAGCGACATGAGAATCAGCACAGCCACTACCATCAGGCATTTAGAAGAACTGATTCTTACTCAAGGCACCAGGAGCACATATCTGGCCACACCCTCCTCACTGGTTAAGTTTCGAAGTAGATCCCTAGACCTTTCTTCCTGAGCTGTCTTGAACCTCTGTTGAATCCTGTCTCCCATGAGTGACCCTGCTGGTCTTTGCAATATGAATAGTGTGGCTTCTAGCATCATAGCCACATGCACGCTCCCACAGTTCTCTGCATGGTCAGACTATAGGTGGAGGGAGGAAGAGGAGGCAGTCGGCCCTGTCCTCTAGGGCATTATGAGTTGGAATGGCAGTGAGTTTATTCACTGATATTTGGATAGTTATGAGCAAGGTAAGGATGATGTTTCCTTGGCATTGCTGCTAGTATCTTGGTTCTGACTGGATGTCAAAAGACATCCATTGTTCAGAATAATAAAATAATAATACGTTTGTATAAGAATATGCATAATTCTTGGTATATAAAAGGTATTTGATGTGCGTGACAGGTAAATCACAAGCCTGCCACTATGTAATCTAATTCATCTGATCTTGTTGATTGAGTGTTGTTTCTACAAGTGATCAGAAAATAGTATTTTCCTAACACATTTCATGAGAACTGCTGGAGGTGGCAGTTTTTAGGCATTCCTGGGTTTACTATGTACTTTGTCCTACTGACAATTTCTTTGTGTATATGTAACCAGTTGTTGATGACAGAACATCAGGCAGTTAACCCCTTACATTGGACTTGTTTTCCACTGGTATTGTCAACCTTAACCCTGTTCAACAACATCACTGCTGTTTTCCTGGTAACCATCTTCTGATGATCTGCAGTACTGTGGCAGTGTGCATGTTGCAATGGTGGGAGAAGCTAATTCATTGGTATTTAAATCCCAACATAGTCACTCTTGCGGGGTAAGGGTCAGCAGAAGGTCTAGACCAGCGGTTCCCAACCTGTGGATCGCAACCCCTTTGGGGGTTGAATGACCCTTTCACAGGGCCACTTAAGATCACCGGAAAACACATATTTCTGATGGGCTTAGGAACTGAGACACCGCTCCTCTATCCGTCTCCAGGAGGGTCCACCCACATGCAGATATGCCCACAGATGAGTGCCCAGCATGAAGACTGTTACCCATGCTACATCATGCTTCAAGACAAAATCTCATTTATTTGTCATTAGAAATAAATTTTTCACAATATATAATTACATATTGTTTTTGTGATTCATCCCTATGCTTTAATTATGTTCAATTTGTAACAATGAAAATACATCCTTCCTATCAGATGTTTACATGATGATTCATAACAGTAGCAAAATGATAATTATGAAGTAGCAACAAAAATAATTTTATGGTTGGAGGGTCACCGCTGATGAGGAAATTTATTAAAGTGTCCCGGCATGAGGAAGGGTGAGAACCACTGGTCTAGACCAGGACAGCTTAGGAAGGAAGGTCTAGGGTTATACTTTTGAAAATGAACCAGTGAAAACCCTGGAGATCACAGCAGACAGAGTGCCAACAGTGGCGCTGCCTCAATTGGAAGGCACTCAGACTACATCATGGTGGCAATGGTGAGCACTGGCAGAGGCGTGAAGTAAGCACGGCATCAGCGCAGGTGGCATGTTACTCTGTTGAGCCTGCGACCCCTGAGTCTGAGCTGCCCCAATGGCATCTAACAACAATGGCCATTAGACACTAACACAGGCAAATGATTGCTTGATTTTGAGAAGAATTTTAAGCAGAGATAATAGAATTCAGAAGGACTTTTAGTTCAAGGACAGCATGTGTTTTCCACCAATTTTTATTCAAATAAAACCATATTCTACATTGGCTTAAAGTCCTAATTTCCTTTTTCCATGAATGAGCTGTTCTTTAAAATACCTCTTTTTATAATACTTAAAAAATAAAAGATCATTTATTTTACGATTTATTGGTTTGGTAGGTTTTATTTATATTCTCATTTTTAAAAAATAAAAATAATATACTCATATTTTGATTCTGGGAAACATCAGAGGGCTGCCATTAAATCTTATACAAAGGGGATTTTTAAACTTTGTGGAGAGTGGAATTAAAAGATAACAATTTTCCATGAACTTTTTGAAGCCACCTCATATATAATTAACTTATAAAATACCAGTCCCAGATTTAGATTAAAAACAAACAAACCTGTCTGTACATGAGAACATTCTTTCCAACAATTCTGCCTGGTATATTTTGTGTTTTGCTTAAGCCATCAAAATCTTACTATTCTTTACAATGGGGTTCTATTTCTAATTCATTTATTTTCTACTATTTTCCATTTGCATTATAGTTCTAAATATATCTGCAAATGAGGTACATAATTACATGACACTGATATATGTGTGTGAGTATGCATGCAGACACACGTGTATATATTTTCAGATCCATATGTACAAAGTATATTTAAGCATAAGTTTTGATAAATTTACAGACATGCTCTTTTATATGCATATGAGCTGTTGGTGAAAAAGAGAAAAATGGAGTCTCAAAAATATTCAACAATGGGAATTAAATGTGAAATCAATACCACTAACGTCTCCAGCCTTCCACTTCATTACATTTTAGTATGTCAGTCAAGAAACTTAATGGGTTTAACTGCTCATCATTCCCAAGATGTCTTTGATAATCCCCACTGATCCCCTCAGTTGGACAATAATTGTGTAGCAAGCTGCATCTAATTTTTCTCCATCTCTATTCACGTTCCCTATTTCCTCAAAGCGTGCAAAGATTTCAGACTAGATGCATAATCTAGTGCAAGTAACTCATCAATCAATGTCAGCCTAACCAACCACCTTTTAGAATTTCAATATTGCATTACAGTGGGACTTCACTAAAACACCTGTATTTATGAACAAATTAAATACTTACATCAAGTAAATGAGACATACCACATGCCACTATTTGCTGTGAGGA